ATCCTCTGCAATCCTTAACAAGTGACTTTCACCCTATACCTGTCCACCTCTAGCTAGGTACCCACCTTCTGAGTGGGAAGAAGAAAATCAGTAGAGGGCAAAAGTTGTGAACCAACCCAGTCTGCCCTGTTTAAAGAGCTTTTGCGGAAACCACACCTGGAAACTTCTGTTTACATCTCAGAACTGTATCACATGGTTATCTCTAGGTACAGGAACAGTTGGGAAAAGTAATTTTTAAGCTGGGTAGATAATACTACCCATGCAAAATCAGGGTAGTATTATTAGAAAGAAAGAGAGAATTGTTAGTGTTACTGAACCAAAGTGGGTTTGCCTTCTGGTGAGTTAAAATCAGACTCTCCACCAGAAGTAGTTGTCACACAAAGTAGAGTTTATTTGCAGCAAATAGGAGACCACGCAGAATCATTTCCAAAGTCATGGCTGTCCCCAAGCACGAGCACAGGACAGCAGGGGCCTTTAATTTTGGATGGGGAATGAATATTCAAAAGGGAGAGGTGGGCATTCATTTGCGCAGGCTCAGTTGGAAAAGATGCTTCCATGTACACTGCAGGTTATGGCAATAAGGCCTGAGCTCTTCCCGGAGAGGAGATCTTAGCATGAAAAATGAGGCAAAGGTGGGCTGGCCCAGTGGCACAGTGGTTAAGTTTGCACATTCCGCTGTGGTGGCCCAGGGTTCGCCAGTTTGGATCCCAGGTGCAGACCTAGGCACCGCTTGTCAAGCCATGCTGTGGCAGGCGTCCCACATATAAAGTAGAGGAAGATGGGCACGGATGTTAGCTCAGGGCCAGTCTTCCTCAGCAAAAAGAGGAGAATTGGTGGCAGATGTTAGCTCCAGGCTAATCTTCCTCAAAAAAAAAAGGTCACAGGCCTTGCTCTTGGCTTGGCCTGGTTCAGGGTGGTTGGTGATTGCATCCCTTACACATAACAAAAAGAGAAAGACAATTTGGAGAAAAAGTTAACTGCTCTGAAACCTCCCTTGAGTTCCTCAGGGCAATTAGTCGATGACATTAGTATCCAGACAAATGACAGTCTCCTACATAATCAATTCTCCTAATTTATTTTATTTTGTTATTTGAGGTAAAAACTGATCTTATTACTATCAAACATCAATGTCTAAGGTCCTGCCACAAAATTTTCTTCTAGGAAGGTGAATTTATTTTTGTGTGGAATCTACAGAAGGTCTTACTTACACTTTGTGGCTGAGTGTGAGTTGAATACAAATAACACACCAGGCACTGTTCAAAGGCCAGAGGATGGTGCTGTTACAAGATTACATCTCTGTGTAAACACAAACTTGCCTATTTTCTTGTACAGAATTTAGTTGTTGTTAAAAAGCAAACAGATGAATACTTGGCATAATGTGAATTTTGTTTTTTTCATTCATGGAGTATATGTTTATTAAGCACCTTTTATGCTCAAGGCACTCTACTGGGCACTGAGGGTGAAACAAAAATTAATCAGATATAAATCTAGCCATTTCCAGTGGGTATTGTCCAGAAGGGGAAAAAAGTCCATACGTAAGTGGCTATAATACATGGTAGAATGTGCTAAATGTGATAAGACACATACAAATAAATTTTTATAAGTGTTCAGAAGAAGAAAAGAGTATTTCTGCCAGAGAGAATTGAGTAAATATGATGTGGGGAACCTAAACATATGTTTTCATTTTAAGAGTTTGCTTTCACAGCTAGTAAGCATCATCATAAGACTAGAAAAATATGTTGAAAAAATGCATAGCCAACTACCATTCACAAATCATTACAGATAGGCAGACTGACGTGTCATCCCGTCCTTGGGCTCCTCAGTAAACCGAGATAGAGGTTTGGGAAGGAGTGGAGCCTTCGTTGAGTGTCTACTGTGTGCCTGGTACTTTGATTTATTTCAAGAAACCTTTATGGAATGCCTGGGCTAGATTTACATATGTGATCTTCCTTTAACCCCCAACAGTCCAGCTAAGCAATTATAATTGCTTATGAGGAAGTTAAAGCTCAGGGAGGTTAAGTAACTTGAAAACATCACCCGGTTTATATGCCAGAGGCTACATTTGAGTCTACGCACATTTGACTGCAAAGCCTTGCTCTTTTCCACTTACTCTGCCTTTCACTGATGACCTCATCTGGTTTCGTAGCCATAATAAGTGTTGAACAGTCAATTCCTTCTTCACCCTGGGCTGATGGTATGTCTTATACCCAGCTGGTTGAAACTTGGCTTCATTTGGGTACTTTTGACTTGTACCCAGAGTTTATTTGTTACCTGCTTAAATCTTAGAACTTGACTTCCTTTTGACTTTTTTATATTTTTTTGAGGAAGATTAGCCCTGAGCTAACATCTGCTGCCAATCCTCCTCTTTTGGCTGAGGAAGACTGGCCCTGAGCTAACATCCATGCCCATCTTCCTTCTACTTTATACGCCTGCCACAGCATGGCTTGACAAGCTGTGCATAGGTCCACATCCAGGATCCGAACCAGCAAACGCTGGGCCACCAAAGCAGAACGTGTGAACTTAACTGCTAGGCCACCCGGCTGGCCCCCCTTTTGACTTTTTAATAATTTATCTTTGTAATAAATAACTATGTCTAGATGATACACAATTCAGAAAGGTGTAAATGATGTATAGCACAAAATTAGTTCTCCTCCCCCTTGGTCTCCTAGCTAATCAGCGCTTCTCCGTGGAGGTCACCAGCTTTTTGTATATCCTTTCAGAGTTGTTCTGTGAGGATACCAACATTGTATGTGTGTTTGTATGAGAATGTGTATGTATGTGTGTTGGTATATATGTGTATGTTTGTGTGTGTTCTTTTTTACACAAATAGAAGCTTACTATACTCACTGTTCTGATCTTGCATCTTTTTATTTGTATTTAGTTGTCCCAGAAAGATTGTTTAACAAAAGAAAAACTCAGTGTATTTAAAAATATGGTTAAGTCGTCACCATGGCAACATGTGTTGAATAGCTGTTCTTACTGATGGCAGTTCCCTCACATCATGAAAAATTTAACTAAATAAAGAATATTTTTATTCCAGGAGCTCTTTGCTAACAATGGTTTTTCCTCCTCCACTACTCATCCAGTGAATTTGTTTATGGGTTGTCATGTGGAACTCTTCAGCCCTCATTCTGATTTCTGGTCACCTTCCTGTCCTGAATCGAGTATCTCTCAAGCACTCTTCAATCTAAACTCTCTTATTGGGATATAGTGGGGAGAACAGAAGCCTAGGGTAGCCCTTCCTGCCTGCCTCCTTCCTTCCAGTTGAGTGTCTCCCACATGTTTTGAGACCCTCAGGTATGGAAACGGTGCCTGAAAGAAATGGGTTTTGGGGCCAGTCCCACAGGCCTGGCCTCTTGCTGCACCCTTTGGTTACTTGTCCTCAGAAAGCTTGCTGGAGCAGATCAGGCTTCTGGGCCCTCTTAGAAGAGCTAAAGACCTCTCCTCATGTCCACACTCCACAGTGCTGCCCTGCTGGCTTTGCCCATGGGCTTGGATCTTCCTTTGTTCCACTTCTTTGGATCAGAGATGGAGGCAAGTGAACAGCTCCACAGTCTCCCCTTCGAGTGGTTTGCAGAGATGAGGAACATCTCAGTCAGACTGGTCCATTTGAAAATGCTCTGATCCTCTACCTCTGAAGTCGCTTTGTTCCTTGTCAGGCCTCTCAGTCAAACACATTTACTCCACACAAGATCCCTTGGTCCCTTCATATCTGCCTAGCGCAGGGCCTTTGGACACATTTCCCTGCAATGGGACATTCCAAGGCATGAATATAGAAGGGTTGCTTAACATTTTACTACAGCTACTCAGTTCATCTTCTATATCTTAAAAAATAAAATTCATAAAGGATAAAAATAATACCAGTTAAGTCTATCTAAAAGGTGAATGTTCCTAAGAGCATTTGCTCTTATTCCTTTAGCCCTTGCCATGAGGAAATGACATTTCTCTTACATCTCTTTAAATGTAATGTCTACAGATGGAAATCAATTGCCAGAAATCCTTTTAATAAAAAGTCCTATGTATTATGTCAATTATATTATTTTTCTCTTAATATTATTTTACATTTAAAGCTTTTATAATGCATGCATATTGAAAGTGGTGTTTATAGTATTGAAGGATCAGAAACAAAGTGTGTGACACCAAAAGTTATTTCTAATGAGGTAAATAAGTTGTAAGAATTTCGTAAGCATTTATTTAAGCAAGTAGTATATGTTTACAGCCTAACTCTAGATATATGTTGATGTTTATGATGTTGATTTTTAGGTCTATATTTATTTATAGGCTTACCCTGTGAGCAAAAATACCCTTGTGTTGATCTTGTATTCATATAGTAACTAGTATGCATGTAGTAATTTTACTTTGAAAACGTTTTCAAATGTAAAGTCTTGTGTTAATCTTTAGGTCAACAAGGTGTTACTACACCAGAATTCTACAAATCGCCCTCAAGGCCGTGCATGGTCTGGCTCCTGGTTTCTGTTCCAGCCTCCTCTCTCTACTCTCTCTGTTTACTCACTATGCCCTAGCCACACTGGCTGCTTCTCTTTCTTCAAATGTGCACGCCTTCTAGAGGAGTTCAAAGTTCTGTGAATGGGATTGAGTCAAGCTTCAAGTCACTTTTGTTCTGTGCTATATTTCTAGTACTTGACACCCAGTAGGAGACGTTCATTAAATATTTGTTGAATTTAACAGTAAAGAAAACTAAGACGAAGAGAGAGCAAGTGCCTTTCTAAATCATACGTATGGACCAATACATAGTACACAGCTGCCCTGATTCCTAGCCCAGTGTACTTTCAACAAGACCATCTCAACTTTCTGCTCCAAGAGATTTCCTGTCTCTGAATCTGGACCTGCACTGGCATTATTAGAGAAATTTTTCCTAAAAAATTACTTTAACAGTTTCCCTTTTTTTTGGTCTTGCTTCAGGATTGCAAATCAGTTATTCACTTAATGGGTTGTGAAGAGCATCTCCATCAAATCTTTTTTTTTCCTTTTCTTTGTAGGCCATCTTTGGGAGCCAGACACTACCTAACTCCAATTTATGGACAATGAGCAATGGTGCAGCTTGCAGAATTTCAAGTGCCACAGCTAGTGGCCAGAAGCCAACCACTCTGCCACAAAAAGTGGTGCCACCTCCAAGTTCTTCCTCCTCCCTGGTCCCCAAACCTCCATCCAATCACAAACAAGTTCTCCGAAAGGCAACATCCCAGAGGGCTCCCAAGTAAGTTTTCAGTAATCTTCTGTCTAATTTCTTATGAGTTGTATCAATTCTTTGCTTACAGTACTCTTTATTTATGGAGGCTTCAAGACAATTTGTACTAAAATGTTGAAAAGAAGAACACCTGATGGGGAATAAAAGCTAACTCTGGTTCTCAGACCTGGCTACAAATTAGAACCAGCTGGGGAGCTATTGAAACGTGCCCACGTCTGGGCTCTACCCTGTGGGAGGGGCAGGCATTGCTCTTTTAGGTTCCCCAGGGATTGAGAGGAGAGCTGCTGCTGGCAGGGTTCAGGGTTGTCGCTAACTAACTCTTCTGGCCTCTGGCAGGAGCTACAATCAGACAGTGCACCAGGTAACAGTGCTCCACTGTGGGCTGGGAGGAAGGAAATGAAAACTTCCCCCAGATGTCTTCTTCTCTTGGTCGTTCTACAGATTCAGATCTTTTCAGTTTCATATAAAATTCAACACCCTTCCCCTGCCACCCACCCTTGTTGGTTTGTTCACTTTTAGGCATTTGAATGGGAGGACATAGGATTGGGATTTTACTGGGGGGATTAACTTCGTTGGCATTAGTCAGTAGGCTCTGTGTAGCAGCAGTATTTCTGATTATCTTTTGTAGTCTACCTATTTTACCTCAAAAAAGACATTTCCGTGCCTGAATCAGCTTTTTTAGGTCACATCCTTCGCTCTACCCCCAGCCATTTTTTAGCTAGTGAACCAGAAATGGACTCATGAAGAGTGTTGGTCCTAGCAGCCCTTCTCCATTTCAAATTGCATACCTTTTCCAAGGTGTCTGGAAGAGGCGGGCATTCCTTCATGGGCAAACACCTAGAGGAGAGTGTGTGTATTTCTCTTGCTTTCATTAAGGCTCCTCATTTATTCGTCCTTCTCGAAAATCAATTTCAGTTGTAAGAAAGAACCCTAGGACATAGAAAAAGCAGTTACTGTTTTTCCCTTGGGATGGTGAATCAAGTTCTGGATTTGGATTGAAAGCAATCCCTTGTGGCTGTTTTGATTATATTGCTGCCATTATTCATTTATCCAACAGATATTTACTACGCGCCTACTAAGTGCCAAGCACTGTTCGAGGAATAATTGGCGTCGTAATGACTTTGCAGAACTCTCTGGAGCAGTAGGGAAGGGCACTAGGAAGCCTGCAGTTCGTAGTGGAAGGCAAATAGCACAATAGCGAGGAAGCCATGTGGCCCCTCACCCTGGAAGGAGTAGAGACACATCCTAAGGGCACAGCCTCCGGAGCCAGACTACCTGTCCACTCTTTCCCAGCCCCACACTTTACCAACCTGAGGCCTTTAGCAAGTTACAAGCTACTTAATCTCTTGGCCTCAGTTTCCTCATTCGTGAAGTGGGGATAATAAGAGTATCTACTTCATAGGACAGCTGATAAATATTAGCAGAGTTAATACCTGTAAAGTGCATGGAACAAGACCGAGCACATGTAAGAACTCACTGAGCATTCGAAAACCACACTCTCCTTCACAGGTTTGAGAAGCCCACAGTTAGGGAGGAAAATTAGTGAGTCTCATACGAATGTTGAGTTTGCCAGTGTGCTCCGGGTTTGTGGATTCTCCAGTTATTAGTGGCCTGTGTGGCTGTCTGGTCCTCTGGTGGAGAGGTGGCCTCCGTCAGTGGGCAGCAGGGTGGACATTTGAAGACACCCCTCACTGCCCTGAACTCACAGCTGGCAGGAGAGCTCTTCAGCCCTCTGAGATGGAATTGCAGCTCTGTGAACAAATTTTGCTTTGCTGCATTTTTGTGGTTTCTTCTCTCTGACAGGCAGGAGTGTGGGAAAACCGGAAACAGCTCAGCACCAAAAATGCACAGAAGGGGGGAAAAAAGCAAGATTTCTTCAGAATTTAAGAAATATAATCCAAGTATCAAAAGGCATGCTGTGAGGCGTTGTTCCAGGAAATAGTTTCCAATTTGCCTTTAAAACTCGAGCACAAGTCTCTGAAGCTAAATAAGTTAGCTCTGATGGAGACCTTACCATTCCCTCACTTACACGGAAAATGGACAGTGTTGTCTTCAATATTCTCCTGACTTTTAGGAAGAAGAATAGCATTATTTTTATCTGAACTGATGCGATGAAAAGTTCCCTCTATGTATTATCCAGATAAAGCTTTTTTTAAATAATCATTTTATTTTAGAATAATTTTAGATCTACAGAAAAGTTGTATAGATAGTACACATAAAGATAAGTACACCCAGTTTTCCCCATTGTTAGCATCTGATACTGCCACGGTACGTTTGAAGAGCGTACCGCACTAAGAAACCGTCACTGAACTGAACCCCATCCTTTATCTGGATTGATGAAGTTATTTTTAATCTAGAGGAACCTTTCATAGCTCCTGAAGTCAGGCTCCTGGGTATCAGTTGGTATATTCTTATTGTTCTAAAGTAGTTCATGTTCCTAGCCAGCATGATAAGTTATTTAACGTCTTTGTGACTCCGTTTCCTGTTTTAAAACAGGGATAATAGTAGTGCGTGTCTCACAGGTTAGTAAGAGAAACAAATGAATTAATAACGTCAAGCACAGTTACGGTGCCTGGTACGTAATATATGTTAAATGAGTTTTAGGTATTATTATGATTAATACTAAGATGGTATTTCAAAACATTTTCAGGTAATTTTTTACTTTCTTCATGAAAGATGTGTTGCTTCATTTGCTTGGAGCGTATTGCGGCCTTTGCTCTGGCTCAGTTCAGATTAATCAGGAACCCTCAGCTATGACTGGTGAGACTGAGTCACACTCAGGAATGCCATTGTTGCCCCAAGAGACGCAACTAATGAGAAGTTGTAATGAGCTTTTGACCATGCCAAACCCTCTGTTTTTGGGTTGAACTTCAAACTTCTCCTAGCACAGAAGTTGGCACTGGACAAATATAGAAGCAATTTCCAAGAGCATCAAAGTTTCCACATCCTAGAGGGTTGAGTTTAGAGAACAATAGAACATAAAAGATGGAATGTCGTTTGGATTTTGGTGCAAAGGGAGTTGAGAAGCAGAACAGTGGGGTCCTATTTCTTTATGATAATATTCAAGTCACTTTCCCTCTTAAGGTTTCAGTTTCCATCTGTAAAACAAAAACCACTGTCCCCACTGAATAATTAACCAAAATAACTTGTTTTCTGTCTATTCTGTTGAAAGCCTTTTTATGAGCACATTTGCTGTTTAATCCTAATGCTTTACAGCCATTTTCCTCATCCCCTCTTGGCCCAACGGTTCTTTGTTATAGTTCTCAAGTTCGTGTGCTTAGCTAAATCTCATTTGTCAGTTCTGTGAAGGGATGATTTAGATTTTTTTTTTTTTTTGCCTTTTCCATAGTGCCAATAGCCTCTCTTGATTTTCCTCTCTAATGTTTGCAACACTTCATAATTTAGTACCCACTTCAGATCCTCCTTTCAAAACTATTTGTGGTATTTCTTCGAAGCAGTCAGCTGAATAAGAAAGATGACAGCCTATGAACAACTACGTGCATATGAACTGTCTCTTCCTTGTAAATGACCTTTTTTTCAGAGCCGGAATCACACTCTCCAGGAAATAGGGAGAAAGAGACCCGAGGAGATTAGAGTTTGCCAGAGACATGGGCTAAAGTCATAGACTAGAGATGGATTTGGAAGAGCAGCGTCAACCATGTTCTACCTTGGGGTTACTCTGAAGAAGGAAAACTGTGTAAGAAACACCAGACTTAGCTAAAGGGCTTTTCTTTAAATAGCTGGGATTACCTTTCCTTACACAGGTTTTAGGATATTCTACATCAGGGTGAGCTCAGTGGAAATCGAAGGTAACTGCCGTCCGTGTCAGCACCCAGGACAGTGGTGTTTATTAAAGGCTGCTAGGGATTAGGAGGGAGGAAAGCAATCAAGAGCTCGGCAGCGTGGTAAAGCCAAATATCAATTAATCTGACCTGACATTTGATGATGTCAGCAATATGATGAAAGATGCTCAGAGATTAATGTCAGAAAAATATAAATATAAGAATCAGGTTAAAAAAAATGTGACATCTTTTTAACATATGAGTCATTAAAATGAAGCAAAGTGATCAGGAGTTATAATGATCCAAAATAGGTTCCTGATATGAGCACAGAAGATGTCATATTGTAGGTTAACCGTCTTCTATCAGAGTTTCAGCCTTTTGTTATATGTAGTTTCAAGAAATATGATTGAATCTGTGGCATACCCATCCTTAAATGTAAGATTCTCTAAATTATACATTTGTAAAATATATAATGATAGACCTTTAGATAAAGGAAGATAAAGGAATAGATAGATAAAGATAGAGGCATAGTGCAGGGCTCTGAGTATAGCAAGGTACACAGGTGGTCAGTGGCAGAGCGAAAACCGGAATCCATCTCACCTACTGGGCTAACCTTAGACTCTTCCCAGTAGACCGCTGATTTCCAAGGCCTTTAGCAGGACTTTCAGATCCATTCTATACAGCAAATGGCAGATTAATCATCCTAAAATATTGCCTTTGGGAAAAAGCAGTGTAAGCACTTAGGAACTCACTCCTCTCCTTTCTGCACCAGTTTTACCACTTAAATGGCCAATGAAATACTCAAAAGGAGGAAGAATTAGTGTAACTCTCATACTAAATTGTTGGGGGAATTTATGTTAGATGTAGCACAAGAAGGATTGGATTGAAGAACAACACTGGTGGCTTTTACATACTGCTGTGCCTATGAGGGTGCAGTCTGGGGAAATCATGGGAGGCCTGGAGTACACCAGACCATACCCTCTTACTCTAAGTGGGGACTGCAAGTAGGAAGAGATGAAGGCCAGTCCAGGAGTCTGGCACTTAAACTCTCTTCCCTCTACCAACCCTCAGCATTTGCACCTCAGTGGTGGCATGAGGAGATCTTAAGGTTTGCTTTTGACATGGACGATGACATCACTCAGAGAACTGGGTATTAGTAACCACACGTAACCAAAAGTTGCCAGTGGGGTATGTATGGTCCAGTGGAGAGAAGTACGTGAGAGTCGT